ACTACATTTTCTGGATTCAGTAAAAACAGAATTGTGCAGACTTGAATCCGAAGGACATATCAAAAAATTAGAAAATTGCGACGAGGACAGATTTATTAGTCCGATAGTTATCACTTGTAAAAAGGACAAATCGATAAAGCTAGCCCTAGATTCAAAATTCATCAACAAACAAATTTACAAGAACAAATACCAGATGCGCAACATACACGAATTTGTGGATAACGTAGCGGCTCAAATTTCCAACAACTCCACCGGAGAAGTGTGGTTCACCAATCTAGATTTACAAAATGCATATAGTCAACTTTCGTTAGACAATTTTATTAGCAACCAATGCAATTTTAGCCTGGTTGGTGGAGATATAACGGGCACATATCAATTCTTAACCGGTTTTACGGACTCGGCGATATGCCTAACGAATTTCAAAGAGTCATGGACTCAACACTGGGAAAATTTCCTATTACAAATTGTTACCTTGATGACATTCTAGTCGCTTCCAAAGGAAGTTTTATCGATCACAAGAAAATTGTCTATAAAATTTTATCAACGTTAGATAGTTACAATTTCGATGTAAAATGTTCGAAATACAAATTTGTCCAAAAAGAAAGCGAATGGCTAGGCTTTAAAATATCAAAATCGAGAATCACTACTCTAATCGATAAAACCAAATCGATAAAACTAAAAGATATCCCAATTCCAAAAAATCTAAAGGAATTAAGACCATTCTTTGGGTCAACTAATCAGTACATCAAATTCGTACCAAATTTAGCATCCCTCGGAAGCCCGTTAAGACCTCTTTTGAACAAGAAGTCAATTTTCCTTTGGAATGATGATCACAAAAAAGCGTTCGATAAGATAAAATAAGAAATAGTCAATTTTACAGAAAACACTCACTTCGACGTTAAAAAATCCACGAGAGTAAAAACTGACGCTTCACATAACGAGTTAGGTGCATCCCTCGAACAACTCCACGGGAAGGATTGGAAAACAGTATCGTTCGCTTCAAGATTTTGAAATCCTCACGAATCCAATTATTCAACAAACGAATTAGAGTTATTAGGAGGTGTATGGGCGGTATAACATTATAAAAACTATCTCTATGGCTCAGAATTTGAAATTATTACTAATCACAAAGCTCTCCTCTCCGCCCTGTCACGGAAACAAAACCTATCATAGTCGATTGACAAGATGGGTAGATTGTCTTTTACCATTTAATTTTACTATAAAGCATTTAGCGGGAAAAGATATGGGTTTTACTGACCTAATTTCAAGATCTCCTTCGGAAAAGGCAATTTCCCCGTCACAATATGACGAAGAATTCGTAGTTGCAACTACCAAAAAAATATATAAAGCACTCAATCCGTCAGATAACAAAAATTCATTACGTAATTCAATTAGTTCAATTTCGGAAAATTCCAATTACACGAGATTACGAAATCACGTAATAATTACAGCGTTGAACTTCATTAATCCTTCCATTCCAATTTGCAATCAAAAACATTATAGAAAAGAACTTTGTAACGCTAAATGCATTCCCTCGGACTTTTCAAATACTGACCCTACTAAAATCGTTTTATCAAATTCAGCTTTCATTCGTTTTTTAATCCTTAATAGTAGTTTAATTAGTAATCCCTCGGATTTCAAACTTATAAATAGTATAAATATTTTTAATAATCAAATTGTAGTAAATCCTTCCACCTCCGGGGTACAGGTCTCAATCGATTTCCAAATTTCTTCAGAACACAAAAAATTAGTAACAAAATACCGAGAAAACCTATGGATTTAAACACGTTATTTAACGCAAAGTTGGTCGCATTACTAACGGAAGACGATGAAATGCTAAACCCAATTGTGAAAACTCTACAGAACAAAGTTAAAAACATCAACGCAATTTCCCGTTATCTGTACCAATTTTCGAAAGACCTCCACGAGTCCGACGGATTATTATATTTGGATGGAAAATTGGTTATTCCTTTTACACTTCGGAACGCCGTTTTAAAAACTCTACACGAAACCCACCCTGGCCAATTCGGTATGAAATACTTAGCACAGTATATTTGGTGGCCTCACATAAACCGACAAATCTACTTCCATGGGATTAACTGTACCCAATGCACCCAAACTGGTAAGAATATAAAGGGCAGTATACCTACCACACAAATTAGCGAACTACCCGCCTTATCCGAACCTAATGAGGAAATTAATATCGATTTTGCCAGCCCATTAGACAACACCTGGGGAAAGAATAAATACATTTTATTATGTAGAGATCGTTTCTCAAAATTTCCTTCAGCTAAAATTACATCTTCAACGTCTTCAAACTCGGTAATCGAATTCCTTCAAGATTCTTTTTACCTCCATGGGATTCCAAACTCTATTCGTGTCGACCACGCATCCTGTTTTACTAGTCAGGATTTTAAATTATTCTGTAATTCTTTTAATATTAAATTAATATTTTGTACAGTTGGGGACCATCGTTCTAACGGTCTTGTAGAAAAACTTGTTCATATTGTAAAAAACAATTTATTAGCAATGTCACTAGAACAACAAAAAACCTACATTACATTTCGCTATCTCGAAAATCATTTGGAACTTACGATCTTCCTTTCAATCAAAAATAAAATGTTCACCGTTCGAAATACATTTTAATAGAAAACCGAACACGATCTGGAAACAATTGGCATCTAGTAATTTATCCGGTGGATTTTTAGACGAAGGGAAGTCGATCTTAAGCAAGGAAAGGGCCCTTGACTCGAACGCGGACGATCGGATAGAAGACGGATACAAAGATCCTCTAATACCAAAGAAGAATCAGTCACCGCTTGAGAAAAGTTATGGCTCAGACGATCCGACAGCTTCAAAATCTCCGAGTGTCTCTAAACAGCCCGTTTAAAGGTAACTTACTCCGAAAGACCAACGGAAGTATACACGGAAATCCCTTTTATAAACAATTGGGCCAGAAAATAATAAACGCAACAAAATCTACGGTCAAACTATCCGACGGAAAAATCATTAGAAAATCGGACATCGCCATCCCAAAGTTTAAATCCTCTACAATCCGTTCATTCAAAGGAAATATTTCTTTTCCTTCTTTTACTAACTCTGATTTACAAGTAGGTCCAAGAAAGACTAACAGATCAAAGCCCAGACAGATGCAGAAACTTGGCCCCAAAACGAGACGTCAAATAGAGCACCCGACTCCGGTCACCACTAGGTCTAGAGGGATAAACCACCCAACTAAGAAGTCAAACCGAGCCCGAAATAAAGCCTCGACTTCTAATACCAGATACTTAGCAGGTGACGAATCCATGTTCATTCCGTCGGATACATCCGACATTAGTGATTGGGAGTGGATCGCGGGCGGTTTCCCATGCAGAGAAATGATAAGAGAACGTTGCATTTCGGATAACCCCATTCTTATCGAAGAACCTACCTCACCATTAAACCCTCAAACATATCAAACTAATATAAAACCTGAGATTTTAGACGAACAACCTCATCCGACGGACACAGCGGAATGCTCAATCAGTATGAAAACCAGCAGCTCAAACTACTTCACAGTCACCTAACAAACCTCCTACTACTGGGTCATCAAAGGGCCCAAACGCTCCGTTGGATACAACGAAGGAGGCGGAGGGAGAAAATCCTGTCGAATTTCCAGTATTCGAGATAGAAGACTCCTCTGAGGAAAACGTGGTTACTGAGGAAAGGCATCCAAAGGAGACCATTATTACTGGTAATGATTTTAAATTAAGACGTTCGAGTCGAAATGTCGGACCTCCCAAATTCTATGGTAAAAGATTTTACATAGATATTATAGATGAGATCAAAAACCATCCAGGCTCCGCAAAGAATCCAATACCACTGGACGAAAACGACAGTTCGGACACCCTCACTCGAACCATTACAAGAAATCCCTCGGATATTCAAATCCCTAATTTCGACATCCAATCTGACGAAGCTACATCTGATTCACTAATTTCCTCATCCTCGGATAAAATCTCTATTATCTCCACTGACGAATCCCTGAGAGATGCGGTGAATAGTTTTGACAACTATATTGACTTAGATAGTGAAATCATCAACGCGGAGTTAGAGAAATTTATGGAAGGGGACAATTAAACTAAAACACAAAATTTTCGCATTTAAAATTTATTTACTCTTAGTGATACTTCATTACGGTGCAGTTAAAATCTATCTACTTTTTGTAGTCATCGATTATAATCCGCCGGAATCATGAATTATGCTCCTCGTTCTAATCAATCATTCCTTCCGAGCAGTAAAATTTCTTTGTCATAGTGAAAAATAGTTAATTTTTCTTCTCAATCCCTTGGCTGAACTCCTCGAGGGAGAGAAAAGGGTTAGATATCCTATTACGTATCATAGCGTATATTAGTTTAATTTTTTTCCCACTAAGGGGAATGTTGCGATTCATATCATTCTTCTTATTTCATATAATTACTTTAACTGGTTAATTAAGATATGACCTTTGTTTGTTCATTCTCTCCGGCGGAGAGAATGATCTCTCACTTTTTTTAATGTTTTAATACAGAGATTAATTCACTTTTTAAACATATCTTATTTGTAACTAAGTAGAATTATCCGTAACAAAGAAACATTTTATCAGGATGTGTGTGTGTGTGTGCGCGTGTCGTTTATAAGCCAGCCGAAGAATAGACCAGCCGAAGTATCAACCAGTCGAAAATATAATAATTATTAATTAATTAATGTAACAATTATGTGACAGTTACGAAATTCTTGAAAATTCATTCATATGATATAAATTTTTGGCTGGCATATATACTCATTTTCGGTTGATTTATTCTTTGACTGGTTTATTTACACTCTGGCTCCCATGGTATCTAGTAATGAGTCCCCTTATAAGGAACTAATTCTATATTAACGAATTTCTTCCCCTTTAATTATTAAAAGAATAATTAAATAAATCTCATTATACTATATTGTCAATCCATCTCGATTTTGATTGTAGGATGGCAACTGACCAATGGTGACTCTCCTAGTGATGAGGGAGTGAGTGACAGCTCTGCCGTCTCTGATCATGAGGAGGAATTTGGCCTTGGGGAACATGCGTCTTATGGGGGTCATTGCCAGCAGGTTGAAGGGGTCTTTGTCGCATAGCATCTCCAGTCTGTTCTTGTTTGAGATGGTCGTGTTTTCTCTCACCAAAATCGAGAGAATGTACTGGCGGGTTACATCATCCAAAAGCTTAAATAAAAAAATTATAAACAATTGTAATTGTAACGGTTTTCACTTAAAATTTTTGAGCTATTGGTTTTTGTTTTTTAAAAACTTCCTATACTCTTCTTTCTATACTCTACTCTTCTCTCATAGAAAAAATAAAACATTTTGAAAAAGTTCTAAAAAAATGAAAATTTTACAGAAAAAATTGATTTTTTTTGCTTATGATAAATGATCGGACCACATTTCTGGCACCTTGTAAAGCAACGGAACACTCTTAGTAATTGAAAAATATTTTGGGTTTTGTTGGTTTGAGTAGCTAACCGCTTGTGGTATTCCCGCTGAGTCCAGACGTGCCTTCTCTATTTCACTGGCCTGCCTCTTCCGAGATGTGATGATCTAAGAACACATGAAAACTAACAAACACACTCGCTTCGCAATCCAGAGATTTCCAGATCGATACTTGTACACTGTCCACTTTTGTAAAAATATGTCTGAATTAAAAAAAAAAACAATCCAGGCACTTTTTTCGAAAGCCGGAACAAAAAAGATTCAAAATTATTAGCAGGTTTCATTTTTACAGTTTATGATAAGTTTATAATAGAATAGTAAATTTACATCTTTATCTTATCGCTATTCATACTATTCTATATGCTCAGAAATTTTTATCGAAGAAACTCAAAAGTGTAATTTGGCTATGAAAAATATTTTTATTATGCTCAGAATTAACATACAATCATGACTGGGCCATTTCATTCTATAAAAGTTCTGTTTTTGGTACTATTTTATGGAAGCTTTTTTTTCTTTATTGAATACTTACAAAAGACGACTGCTCGGAGCAATAAAAAAAAACATTTTGTGTTCATATAGCGCCAAAACGAAGCAATTTTTCTATCTAAAAAAGCTAGCAGGCCTTCTCTCTACTATTAATTGTAGCGTTCAAAGCTACGGCTTCTTTTTTTAGATCTAAAGAAAATTGCATAAATAATTTGTAGATAATCAAAGAACCCAGAAGTTCGATCTTAAAAAGTGCATTATTGCGTGCATTGGGGAACTTCAAACTACCCCCTCCCCTAAACCCTCCGTTGTTGACACCTACATTGGGAACGACTCTCGTCTCCTCCCCACATGCAATGCCAGGGTGGGCGTCGGCTATCACCCGCATGATTGTAGTGCCACTTCGCGGCACGCCCCCTATGAACACAATAGGGAAGTTGTGATCAATTTTTCTATTGGTTCCTGGAATCCGAACGCTCACTCGGCCGACACTCGGCTCCTCAATTTTGCTGTCGTCGAAGGCTTTTGGTTTTACGTCGTTTTCAAACGGGCTGTGCATTCTACGCTGATTTTTGGGTAGTCTTGGATTGTCTGAGTTTGCATTTAGATTCGATTTATGATGATTTTCCGCGCAGGGAACTTCAGAGCTCATGAATTCTTTCTTGACGATATAAAAACCGCAAAGAATAATGATGAGCCACATGTATTGGTTGCGACGACGGAAACTTACGATGACCATTTTGGAATATACAGAGTTTTTGTGGATTTATAGCACCAATGACGATAATGACGATAAAGAAATAGCTCAAAATGGCAATCAAATAAAACTTTATTTCTCAACAAACACAAAATTGTAACTAATTATTTCAAAATTTGTTTTTTACTCAAGAAAAAAAATCAAAAATAGAGGTTATAAGCGACATCGAGACCTGGAACTTTGCTTTAAAAACTGCAGGCCAACGCATACGTGTGGCAGAAACTTTGTTGCTTATAAGCAGACGTAAGCAAGTTTCAGTTCATTCTGCGCGCTGAATTGTTAAACAGGTAAACCACCGACGATTTTTTCAATCAAGTATAACACAAAGTAAAAGCTTGTTTCTGATGATAACACATTGATAAATCAAAATGAAAACTGCTGATTAAAAAGGTGAAAACGTGCGTTCTGTGATGATGTTCTTTCATGTGTTTCTCAGGCTAAGAACTTGCCACAATTTTGGCAGAGATGATAATTTGAAGGATAAAATTTATAATTAAAAAGTATTCCGAGAACGAAACGTAGCAAATCTGAACTTGAAACTTTGGATTCTCGAAATACAAGAATTGCAATCAGATAATGTTGCGGTGATTGCTCATAGCTGTGTAATCTGAACTTGAAACTGTAAACATAAAAATAAGCTGTGAAAAGACATCGTCACTTGAATACAAATAGAAACTGCTTTTCTAACCAAAAAAATTCAGTTACGTTTTGCCATAGTCAAATAAAGGGAGAAAAAAATTGATGTCAGAAGTTAACAGAACGGAGTTTAAAGGTAATTTTAACTTCAGGGGGAAATTATGCGCTATATATTACTTCACAGGAATTTGGTTAAGCGTGGTGTAAAACTGCGACCTAAATAGCGTGAAATTTTGACTACTTTAAAAGGGGCAACACCTCTGCTTTGGTTTTAACCCCGACAAGATTAAAGGAAAAATCGATTTTTCGACCACCGCTAGTAATGGTCCAAAGATCTTTTGTGCGGCTAGACTGGTTCAATTGGATTTGCTTAAAACTATTTGGTTAGATGGAATAAATTTAAACATTGATGCAACTATAACGCTAGCAGCAAAAATTACTCTACCCATTAAAACCCAATGCCCCGTGGATTTGTTCTGGCAGGAAAACTTATCAAAGAGATAAATAGTTTCAACAATGCCTATACCTTAATCAATTTTCCCAAAAGGAAAAATGGGGGGAGGGGGTGGTTTTGAGTGAAAATAGAAACCTACTTAAAGTCAGGCAGAATAGAAAATTTGTGATTAAAATTATGGAAATTTTTCCCTTAAAATTAATGGATCAACTAGTTTTTCACGCCTCCAATTTCATGCTTTCCAATTTTAATTTATTTCAGACGCGGTAATTTTTTGTTTGGAAAAGGAAGGCTGTTTTTTCACAGAATAAGCTTTGGGAAAACACCAAGTGGGCATCTAGTAGGTAATTCAATGTTGAAAATGAAGTTTCGGCGAAAAGGTGATACTCAATGTCATCCCGCAGGATTTTTAATTTCCGTTTGAAGGGAAGTATCGGCGATGGATTTGTCGGACTTAATTCTTCGGGGAGAAATTTTTTAATATTTGACTGTGAAAAAAAACAGTCTGTGTGGCAAATGATACAATAAAAAAGGGGCTGAATCTTTTTAAAGCCATCTTTTTTGGTTCTCAATGCCACGTAAATATCATGTGAGAAAAATCAATTTCGCCTCTGGCTTACTTTTGTGGGAGCAATTGTTGTCGGTGATTTGATCTCATGATTAATTCAACACACGTTTAAAGATTAACTGAAATACCTTTATCTTGTTTCAAACGTGAAGGTAAAAAATTTGGAGTAATAAATGATTAAAGTGATTTCATTATGCAAATAAAAAAACTGCATTTAGTGCAATTGTTGATATATCACCTCGCATATCAAATAAAGCTTTGGAGATAATATTCGCCGGTTAAGTTAAAAGCATCGGTTAAGTTTCACATACGTAAAAACAGTGTGGGGTACGTATGGGTACAGAAATGGGCTGAAAATGCGGAAATTAAATTAGTACTGGTAACAGTAGATCCTAAGGCTATTCATCATCTTATCATTAGTTAATTGAAATTAGAACCGGCATCAAATATCTCTGCTGGTAAAATTTGGTATTTTTAGACCATGTGGCCTTTAAAAAAGTATCAAAGGTACCTTTGAAAAAAAATGTTCGAATGTTTATTTGAAAAATATATATATAGGAATTTGACGTGCTGTCAAAGCCATTTAGGCAAAGGTGTGTAATGATCTAGCTTCAAATTCAAAGTATCGGTCAGCTAAAATTATTCATTTGATTTATATTTCAGAACAGAAGTTGATTGAAGTAATGAAATATTTATCTTCAAGATGTTCGGCCATCAAAGAATCATGCAAAGCAAAGAATTTACTAAATGCTTTTATAGATATGTTTAACCCGTTGCTTCACTGAAGCTCGACCCTTCTCATTATAGAAACATTTTCGAGTTGGTTCATATCAATAACTTCTGTTTAAATTCACCCCCTCCCCCCCCCCCTTCTGGTTGCCAAATTTTTTCAAAAGGTGCCTTTGGTATAATTTTAGATCTATTTTTGGCTGGCCGACATCAAAAATTTTCTAATGACGCCTGCGGCGCCAATACAACTAAATGAGAGCGGGAGCGCACGGGTGGAGCGCATAATTTTGATTGAATATTTTTTATAAGTGTTCAAAACGTCAATTTTGGCCTGTTTTTTTTCCAAAATAGGGTCTTTATAGTATTTTTGGAGAGTTCGGAAAATCAAATTGAGTCGACTTAAAAGAAAGGTCGACACATTACGAGGCCAAACTGTTCATTTTGTGGTTCCGCAAATAGCAAAAATCAGAACTGTCCCGGAATCCGCAAAATTGCTATTTTTCTTTGATCTTCTCTGCTGTTTTGGGTTCCACGGACAAAAAGCTAAAACACTGTATTACTCAAAAACAGGCAATTTTTGTGGAATCCGGAACAAGTTTGTGGAATCCATAAACAAATAATAATATATGTGTTTAAAAAACTTAAGCTGTCACGGAATCCGCAACTGTAAGTGGAATCCGTAAACTGTAAGCTGAGTCAGCAAACTATAAGCGGATTCCGCAAAATGTAAGCGGAATCCGCAAATTGTAAGCGGAATCCTCATAAATTTGCGGAATCCACTTACAATTGCAAATTCCGCTTACATTTGCGGAATCCGGAACAACTACATATATTCGCTCGTTGCGGAATCCGCAACAAAATCATTGTACCGACAAAATTTACGTTACAGGTTTTTGTACGCGGAAATTTTGTAAGTGGAATCCACTAAAATTTTGAAACATGTTCTAAGACTTGTCTCTGGAATCTAGGAACATACAGACACAAAATTGTGCGCCTATCCAGTGCACAGCTTGGCCTCGTATGGCTAAATTTTCAACTTTTTTTTCGACACACCACCTCTCCATGAAAATTTTCTGCGCTCGCCACTCCACATACCTGAAAAAAAAAACAAGACTGCTCGTAAATTAGAGCAAAGCCCTGATTGTTCCGACTGCCCTTTAGCTGGTCTCAGTAAGGTGGTCTCAGTTAACGGGTCTCAGATGAGACCAAATATTTTCGTGGCGATACCCATATGATGCCAGTTTTGAAACAAATGATTTGATATTTGAAAAACGCCCCAGACATCTATATTCCTCACTTTCTTTAAATGTTGGAAGAAAAATATTGGAAATTATTTTTTCTAAAAAAAGCTAAGTGTTATTTTGGTGAAGATTCGCGATGGTTTTTTACGATTTTAAATTCGAGTCGCGCAACTGGAATTTTGTTCAGACTTTCGAAAAAGCGAGGCTCAAATATGCTTGGGTGTTTTTTATTCAACTCAATTTTACAAAAGTTGACTGCGTAGAACTTGCCGCTTGTCTTAATGTCATTGAAGTGTTCAATTAAATATAACAAAAATATTCGAGACCAGATATGGGGCTGTCGGAACATTCAGAGCTTTGCCCCGGTATACGGGCAGTCTTGCTATGTTATTTTAGTTTCAAAACTGTCAAAAGAAAAGAGAAATAGAAAATCATCGCTTCACATTTAAAAATGCTATGATAATCTGAAACAATTGGAAATTGGTGAATAGAAATTGTTCGAGAAATTAGATCTTCAAAAAACACAAGGCACCAAAATCTACAATTTTCATGACCACTAAATTACAAAAATTATGTTCTCGTTGGGAACGAAAAAACTTCAATGGCCTTGTTCTGTTTGAAATTGCTATTTTATTTCAAGTAACGAAAAGAGTTTTCAAGTTTGTTCGTTAGAAGAACAAAATATTTATAATTAATAATAGCGCAAAAAAATTAAAAAGTGTTTTGTTGCAGGATTGAAACTTGTCCGGAGGATCAAACCACGGCTAGACAAAACAGCTCTAACCTCAAACTTTTCAATCGATAATCGAAGTTGAAATGCAAGAGAAAACAACTCTTGAAAAATTTGTCAAAAATTCAAAGCTTGCAGGGAGAAATCAGAAATAATATAATTTACTGAGGCTACTTGTCATCATTAAATATTTTTCTTAATCAATAAGCTAGCAAAAAATAAAGCGCTTTTGGCTGAAACTCATTCTTCCCCCCAAAAAAACTTTTTTCGATATAAGATAAAACACAGAAGAACCAAAAGTAGTGTTTGCACAATGAGTATTCCCAAGGAAAAAAAATACAGCAGAAAAAAACTAATCTAAAATTTAAAAATTGTTCATATTAAGTCGGAAGAAGAAAACACGGCTACCGAACTGCTGTTGAATCAATTTTGTGGCTTTAGCTCAATACTTAAACACCAAACTGGTACATATTAACTCATTGAATTATGTAGAAAAAATAATTATCACAAGAATCTCTTAATTAGACGTTCTGGAGCAAAATAAAAATTTTAAAAACAGTTTCTGAAGTTTTACCATTTTAACGCAGCACAAGATTTCGTAATTAATTGGTTTAACGTGGTGAAGGGTTAAAATATGTCGAAAGCAGCAAACCACAGCAAGCACAAGAAGCTTTTGCTCAGATGTTTTGACCTAAATTTATTAATTACAGATAAAAATCCAAAATTGTCAATTTCTAGAGAAAATTTTTTTCGGCGCCTAATTAAAACACATCAAAGAGCAGAAATCATAGTAATCGATTTACTGTTTTACAATTTTTCAGAATCAGAACTTTTAAATTTTTTTCTTTTTTTTTCTACTCAGCAGGAATATATAGAAATCATAATTATGAGATCAGTTACCAAAAATACAATTCGCTTGACTCCGAATTGGGCGTTGTAATTTTTACTTGAAGATTGAAAAGTTCAGACAAATGTTGCTCATAAAAGTTGAGCGATTTTTTAGAATTCTTGGTATACGACTGTACATTTTTTAAACCAATGATTTAGTTTCTATCGAGTGAATTGGGCTATGAAGGGGAATGAATTGGGCTATGAATTTACCCTCATATAAAGTACAGTGCTGATTTAAATTAACCGGACAAAACGAGCTGAACTTGAATTTTAAAACGTGTTTTTCTCAAATTGGGTTGAGTTTGGGTGGAAACTTATGAAAACAAAACTTGCCTAAATTTTAGCAGAATTCATATGGTGTAATTTGTTTTGCGAAATTCAGGCCGAAAGTTTTACCCCAAAAATGGGTCATTTTGTCTTTTCTCAGTTATTCAAAAATTACGCCAAAAATATCCAGTCGATCACAAACATATTTATATCAAAGTAAGCCCCTTACGTAGTCCAACAAACTTTAAGCAGAGTATATTCTGCAAAAAAATGCAAAACTTTCAAAAATTGTTTTTAAATAAAAAGTTGGTATTTTATATAGTAAAAACGACCTTTTTTGTCCATCAAACAAAAATAAAGTAACTTATACAATGTTCTGGAGACTATACCCCTCTTAAAGTTTGTTGGACTACGTAAAGTGCTCTCTTTGATATAATCATGTCTCTGATTTACTGGGTATTTTCGACGTAATTTTTGATTAACTGAGAAAAACCAAAATGACCCATTTTTGGGGTAACATTTTTTGCCTGAATTTCGCAAACTAAATTACACTATATTATTTCATAAGTTTTCACCTAAACTCAACCCATTTTGAGAAAAAGGCGTTTTAAATTTCAAGTTGAACGCGTTTTGTCCGGTTAATTTAAATCAGCGCTGTATACTCCTTAGATAATTAGTAGTAAATTGTTCTGAACCTCTTTTCTAATCAAAAACTGTTGTGGTTAAATAATTTGGACGTACATTAGGAGCCCATTATTATAAACAAGCGGTTATTCCTTTCTGTTAATTATTCTGTACTAGCAGAGAAAAAGTTCTGATAAAAGTTTACCTCAAAAATGAATCAAATTAAAAAACAACAAAAAATCCAAACTTCATTCTTTCCATCAAAAATGAATCAAGTTTTTAATTTACTTGTTTGAACGTGAGAAAACAAGTTTAGATGATTGGTCCCGTCTATTCCCTAAAAACAAAAGCAAGCGCATGATTCAAACCTACACTTTAGGGCTGGTAACCAAACTCTTACCCGCTAAACTAACTATGCCAGCTGTGTTACCGAGATAGGAGAAAGTAAGATCCTAGTGTGGAAATAACCCAAATACTGTACTTCTGTTTTTATTAGGGATCAGAGGATTTTTGAGGGACCAAACAAGTACTAGACCTGAATCAAATAAAAAAACAGCAAAAACGCCCAACTTTAAGCTGTCCTCATTTTCAGCAAATCAATCCTTTTTACTAAAATGGTTGCGCACAAAAACCCGGGTTGACCTCCATAGACCGAAAATGCTAATCATACAATTTCATACACTTAGTCTATGGAAAAATGCTAGTCATACAAATTTCATACATTTTTGCAAAATGAGTTTAATCGAATTTCAAAGGTATTTTATAGCTGTTTTGGTATCGAAATTGGTATCTCTTCATTGAAAAAAGGAAAAAAATGGTACGAAAAAAAATGCTAACCATACAATTTCCATATATGGAAATTGTATGATTAGAATTTTTTTAAAAAAATTTTTTTTGTGAAAAAAAGGCTTTGAACAATCAAATTAACTGCTGGCAAAAAATTTAAAAGTTCGTTACTTTCGTTATTTTATTTGTCTGAGACAGAAGTAACACATATCAGGCTGTTTCCAATGCATTTTTAATGCGAGACGGCCAAACCGTTGGTTACTACGTTTGAGTAATCAAGGTTTATGTCATTTGTGTTCGGTTACGAACACAACCAAAAAGTTTTGAGAAATTAAAATGTAAAATATCAATATTTTTGGTTTATGGAAAAATGCTAGTCATACAATTTCCATATATGAAAAAAATACTAATCAAAGACCTTTCATGCAATTTTCTGTACGTATGGATTTGTATGGAAGGTGTATGACTAGCATTTTTCCATATATGGAAATTGTATGACTAGTATTTTTGGTCATCCCGGGAATATAACTGAAGAATCGAGCCATTTCTAGCTGGCTAGTTTTTGATTTAGAAACTCCGACCGAAACTTTTTTTTTAATTTTGGGCTGTTCAATCTCGTTTTGTTTTATAAAATTGAACCACATTTCAAATCAAATGTCTCCAAAAATATCACGTGTTTTCAGAGCACCAGCTCAAGTTTAGAAAGAACACAAGTTAGTCTCACACGACACACTTTTCTTTTATCAAACCACTATCTAATAGAACATTTTAAAAGGCAGGGTTGGGGATCTTGTTTTAATTTGTTTAAAACCAATGAGTCAAAACACAGTTGAAAAAGAGAATAAAATCTTTCTCAACTGTGAAAATAAAACACAATGTGAAAATAAAACAGAAATTAAACACAATGAGAAATATACGGAAGTTTTTCCAGTTTCTGAGTTGAGACAAAAGTGAAGGCGTTAATTTAAGCATCAAGAAATAGTTTCAAAAAAATTAACCAGACTACTTGTAACAAGGTTACGCTCTGAATGTTGTGACTGTCCTTTGGCTTCAGCTTCTACTTTTGGCTGTTCAATTAAAGTCAATTAAATAAATTTTCAAAAAAGGAGAAAAACTTTTCAAGGAAGAGCATTTAGCATGCTTTGTTTCAAGTTGGAACGATTTTTAAGCCGGAAGTAACCACCCACTGGCTTTTAGCACGAAGTATATTGCGAGTTAATTACGAATATTGGTCAATCTAGGTATTTTCAAACCCTCATTTCTTTCAAAAAGAAGCACTGACAAAATATCCTTTAAATTTGAGCTTAAGAAATCAATAGCTTTCAGATGTAAGAATTTTTTTTTTTCGAAAATGACTAGTTAATTAATCAAAATTCGTCTGGAGAAAAACAACCCCTTTGGCGCCAACATATTCTAATTTTGAAGAAAGAGCGCCCCAAAAAATGCTATTTTTTAATCAAAATTTTCCAAAAAGTTCCTAAAAACGCTTTTTTTTGGCCTGTTTTTCTTCAAAATATTGTTGCCTTCAGTGCAAAAAATTTGGCCAAAAACAGGGAAAAAAAGGAGATACAATTTTCAAAAAAAATTTTAAAATCCCCCCACGAGAAAATTCCAGATCCGCCCCTACCTTTAGTCCAAGTATTTTTTCTATTTCTGGCCGTTTTCATTGTTTGTCTAATGATGTTTAAGTCAGAATAAATCGAACCTGCTTTTTTAAACACAAGAGCTGATTTTTATTGCAGCTCGAATACAGAGGATTGCAGGATTCCAGTCCGATGCACTTGCGGGTGGGGGTATTTGGGTGTCCCCTTTGCCTTTTGGTTCTTTTTAGCAGCTCCATTTTTAGCAGTTTTAATATAAAATTTTGCTGAAACCTCTCCTATCGAAGGGGAGTGCGCGCCGAAAAAAAAAAACGATTTTCAAATTATACTGTTCCTAGAGGTCTCAAAACATGCGTCGTGGAAATTTCTGCATGAATAACAATTTTTTAGAAGAAGAGGAGAGCTCACAAAATCCAAATATTTGGCCCAAAACAGATACTTAGAACTTGCAATTTTCTTTGAAAAACCTCTAAAGCCCCAGACCCAACTCTTATTCAATGACAACGTTTCGATGTGATTATTCGTATCCAAATTCATTCCCACGATGTGCTCGGAACAATAATATTTAGGAAATTTTCAGAAAGTCAGCTTTTTTTGCTTATTCCAACCTAGGCTATTACCTACCGTTTGGTCTGTATCAGCCAGTTTTGGTAACTTTGAAGGTTAACCGGAAGAAAATATAACTGAATAAATATTTTAAAATAGAACATAAAACTAAAAAAAAACTAATAGCAATTATCAATGTCCAAAAGAAACAGAACAAATAATTTATTAAAAATTTATTAATAATCTTTTGAAGCAAATGTCAGTTCGGAATAGAACTAAGCAACATATTTTTGGAGCTGTCAGGAATCCTTTCAGCAAATAAAGAACTAAGGAGCTTGTAATTGAAGCGCCTTAGAAGTGATTCCTGATACCATTCTTGTTTCGACTCACAATTTCAGGGTACAATGACCATAAGTCTAATTCTGGACAGGAAATACGTAAGCAATAATAGGGGAACAATACCATCGCAAAGGAAGTGTTTTTTATGGTCGCTTGGCTAAAATTACTCGCTTGGGTTGACTTCTGTTCGAATCAAAGCAATCATCCAGCCGTGTACCAACAAAACAATCAGTGAGGGTGGGGGGAGGGGGTAGTTTGGGTTGAAAGTAACGTATGTCTGCGGACACCCTGTCGCCAATTAATGATAACCTAGAGGTATAAATTACTCTATGGAGACTATAAATTACGACCTGATGATAAGGCAGAACATATCAAACCTGCGGTTCAGAGCCAAAAAATGACTGAAATTCAAACATACTAAATAAAAAAAATTTAATAGAACATGACATAAGACCGACTGTTTTGCGATCTTAAAAATTGGTGTCAATTTGACATACGAGGCTCTTTTTGGTCAAATTAGCATAATTTATGAGCAAATGTATTCCATTCAACAGCCCAAAATGACATTTAATAGGTCTCATTTGAATACATTTAATTTATGTATGCATTATACGACCCAAAATTTGTGAAGGTTCCAAATAAGGGACAGCTCGAATAATTTAAAGTGAAACTAAGTTAAACAAGTTACTGATAAGAAAGACCTGCAACTTTTCAGACGACTGAAAGTCAGAACAATTTCGCAACTATGAAACACTCGTAGCTGTCAATCTTTGATATTTGGTGTTATTTCGTAATAATTTCGGAGAATTCTTTTATTTTAACCCAATTTAATAAAGAACTAAAACAAAAAAGAAACAACTAAACTTCGATTCTTTTCAAGATTTTTGCCAGTACCATGAGAACTTGGGCAACTTTGGCTTCATAAGAGAGGTTTAGGTTTTTCTTCCAAACATTTGAAGAAACTTACAATAAAACCAATTTGCTATAGGTTTCTGCAATTCTTAAGCTAAGCAATACTACTCATTTCAGTTTTCTGATCACTTTCAGCAAATAAAATTTGATTCGCATAAAAAAAAACAATAATTTGTTTGGAATATTCCTATTTTTTGAAATTTTTCCTACTACATATTCGTCCCACAAAATCATATTGCAACATTTTGATAAAAATAGCCTGATTCAATTCATTTTGAATGGTTTCTAGGCCAAATCATTTAGAAAACTGAAACGAGACGCTTTAATAGAAAACTAGAAATTTTGCGCACAAGGACAGCATATATTAAAATTTGTCAAAATTATTAGTTCTTAAGCTGTCATAGAATAAGTCCTTGAATCAAAATCATTACACCTTGCATGAATGTGTTGGTGTCACTTGCTTCAATTTTTTAGAACCAATGCATTTTCAATATAAGCAGGGGCGGATTTAAGGGGGGACGCCCTCCCTTTCCCCCACTCAGGGATTTGACCCCCTGCCGACCCAAAGGGCCCCCTTTGGGACTATTTAGGCAATCCATTTGTTTTGGCCAAACAACCCTTAAATGTTTCTAGAGGCGCCTTCGGCGCCAATCTATACTAATTTTGAGGGAGAGCGCGCGCCAAAAAAAACGACACTTTTGACCTGTTTTTTATAACAATTTGCCTGCGGCGCAGAACTTTTGATCAAAGTATGGTCTCTATAGTGTCCATCACACTTCGACAAAATCCTAGATCCGCTCTGCAAACTGCATACATTAGGGATTCACCATCTAAACAAAAATGCAGAATCCCACCCAGAGAATTACCGAAAAAAACGTTAATTTTTTATTGGTCAGAATACCTCTACTTGGAAATATTCCGAAGTATATCTTACATACAAAAAGAAGGAAAAAACTGGATTAAAACAAAGTGCTCGTTAGGAAACTTATTTACTTTCTGAGCAAAGATTGAAACTGGTCTAAGACTTTCGGAATTTTTTCGTTTGAACAAAAAATAAAAAGGTTTCAAAAAATATAAAATCGGAAATTTTAACAGGCCTTTTTTTTTTGTTTCATTAATTGAAAAATTGGTTCTCGAACAGTTTTTATGATAAGAAATACGATGCTAAGCTTTTTTCGATAAACTCTATTAAAATGAAGTTTATGATAATGCATTTTTAATTTGTAAAACTCAATTCAGGATTCTATATATATCATCATTGCAGCCGTTTCTAATTAACTAATTTTCACAACAAAAAATTATGCCTCTGGACAAAATTTTTTGCCTCTATGACTCTGTTGCAAAAACTAAAACAAGAAACAGACCAACTGAATTTTTTAAATGATAATCTTTTGTTATTTAATTATCACTACTATATCAAAGAACTATCAAAACGAGTTGTAACACCCCATCCAAAAATGCTAAAGAATAGGATGTTTTGTTAAATCAGTGTTAGTGGGAGTAGAAACTCTCAATTTCGCAAAAGGGGCGTTAAATGTCTTCTAGATTTTTTATAGCTAATAATCATTCATAAGGATTGAATTCATCAGAAAATAAAAACTAATAAATATCACACATTCAGGTGCATTTAGTAAAACGAATTGACGTTTTTTAAATTGGTTTCCGTTAAAGGGAGGAGCTTGCATCGGAAGTGTCGCAAAGCAAAATACTCAAAATGTCTAAGCAAGACTGCTCGTATCACGGCAAAGCCCCGAATATCTGACTGCCCTTTATTCGGTTTAGTATAGTTTTTGTTAAATTAAAAATTGGCAAAATTGTGAAGTTTAAGCTGACAATATCAAAATTAAGTGTTTCGATTTGAGTCGTGCATGAAATTTTGTAGTGCGGGATCAGAAAACAAGCAGTTTTAGTCATTCTCAGTGCAAGTTACTGCAGTGGTGAGCACACTCAGCTGACCCTATGCACATCAAGAGATCGATTCAACGAGGGACTAGAGTTTTGTAAAAGTGGTCTGAACAAAAAACCACCCCGAGCATACATATGCCTCCATTTCTTTGAAAGTCGGAACAATATCTATCGATTAGAGCTTATGGAGAGTAGCGACGCTTGCTTGTAAAAATCCACTGCGCTATTAAAACAAAGTTTAAAGCGCGCAAAAACTTATAAAATAATCGAGAAAATCGACACATTGTTGCACAGTAAGTAACATCATGTTGGGATTTTGAAAAGTAAAGTCACTGAACAAATGAGAACACTTGAACTGCATTGCTGCTGGTTGTTCTGATATTGTTGCACCGTAAGTAATGTCAAGTTGGAATTTTGAAAAGAAACGAAATTGAACAAAAAATTTGAAATTTTTTGATTTCAATTAATAAATTTAACAAACATTTTCCTTGCGTTTTTACTCTTTTTTGTGAACACTTGAATTACATTGCTGTTGTATCTTATGATATATTGAATAAGTTTGAAACTTTTATTGCTTTTAAATCTGGTCGCTAAGAAAAGAGGCATAAAGTGCTAAAATAGTAGCAGAGAAAACTGCAAAGAGCATGAAAAAATTAATTATTTCTTGTCAACGGCTGAAAACTAAATGCTAAAAATGTATGCCCTATGAAAGCTGGCTCCAAAAAGATCTGGCTCCAAAATTTAAAATCTAAATGAAAAAGATATCGGTTAAAACTGCTATATCCCAGATCGGCATAAAAAAGTTTTCGGCATTAAAAAAATGAATTTCCAAGACACAAATAAAACCCGCAAACCTGTTCATTAACTGGTTTCAAAAACTTTTTGATTAATGTTAGCGACAAAAAATGAGGTTAAGCTTTTAAAATTAGATTCTAAGTTCCGGCGAATTTCCGCCACCCTCCTAGACGAGCGCGCGATATTTTAAAATTATGCTATTGACCCGTAAAAAAACAACTTGGAAAGGTAATCGCTATGGGTTTCCGCGGGAGTAATCCCAATATTTCGGGAGAAAAACGGGGAATTAAAAAGAGAACGGATTTTGAAAATTGTTTATTTTTATTTAACTACAGCCATAGCCAAGCATATATGTTTGAATCCCGATCGAGCTTGATGACCAGGTTTGAATCCCCATGACCAGGCTTGAATCCCAATCGGAGACAAAAAAAATTCACTTTTTGTTTTCTCAACTTGCTTATTTTTGTAGAAGTAAAAAGCGTTGAGTTTTTGCACTTTTCCCATTCAGAAAGGTCACTAGTTGAGTGTATTTGTTGCGCACTCCCCAGCTGAGTGGGTGGATTAAACCGGGAAAGAGCAAAAATTTCTTATTGTTCCGACTTTCGATACGAAAGTAACGGAAAATTTGTGCTCGGGGTATGTTTTTTTTCAGACAAATTTCGACTTTTTAACTAGCCATTTTTGACAAATTTTTTATATCTTTCAAAAAGTATTGTTGCCTCGAGCTTAAATTTGATAAGATATTACACCTTCCTCATATGTGCAGTTTTGTAAAAAGTAAACAAGTTATATTTATCAAACAATTATTTTTGAATGTTTTTTTTTTTCAGTCTTTTTTTTGAGTTTTTTTTCAGTCTCCACTTTGATTTTTTCTGAAATTCAATTTCTTATAAAAGAATCAAAATTGACTGTTGCAGTTCTAAACTGCCACAAAAAAGGTCAGCGTGAGAAAACTATCAGTTTTTTTTATTGTTCCGACTTTCGATACGAAAGTAACGGAATATTTGTGCTCGGGGTGGGTTTTTTTTTCTTCAGACAAATTTCGACTTTTTAACTAGCCATTTTTGACGGAACTTTTTTATATCATTCTTAAGATATTGTTGTCATGAGCTCAAATTTGAAACGATATTTCACCAGTGATCATTTTTCGTAAAGTTATGGGGGTTTAAAGATTGTCATTTCGGCCAATTTTGGACAATTAACGCGCGATATATTTCGCGCTAATAATGCGTAAGCGGAGATTTAATCGCTTTAGAAATCGTTCCAAATTGGTTGAAGGAGGATTATTTACCAGAATTGATTTGTTACAAGGGGCGAAATCTATCCTTTTGAACTTTATATGGCCTGGGGAGATAATTTTCAAAAAAAAAAATTCATTTCAATTTATTACATTTAATTTTTTATGTTATTGCTGCTCCACAAACCTGGAAAGGCATTTGGAACATTCAGGGCTTTGCCCTGATACGAGCAGTCTTGTTGTTCTGACTTTCGATACGAAAGTAAGTGAATATTTGTGCTCGGGGTATGTTTTTTTTCTTCAGACAAGTTTCGACTTTTTGACTAGCCATTTTTGACGGATTTTTTTAATATCATTCGAAAGGTATTGTTGCTCTGAGCTTAAATTTGAAAAGATATTACACCTGTGATCATTTTTCGTAAGGTTACGGGGGTTTAATGATTCCCATTTTGTCCAATTTGGGACAATTAACGCGCGATATATTTCGCGCTATTAACGCGTAAGCGGAGAGTTAATCCGTCTTAGAAATTGTTCTAAATTTGTTAAAAGAAGCTTATTTGCCAGAATTGGTTTGTTACAAGGAGCGAAATTTATCCTTGTGTACTTCATATATTGTTTGTGGGGGGATGATTTTCATGAAAAATTTCACATTTTAGAAAAGAAAATTTTTTTTTGTTTTGTTTCATTGAATTTTTTAATGTTATTACTGCTCCATAAACCTTGAAAGGCAGTCGGAACATTCAGGGCTTCGCCCTGATATGAGCAGTCTTGTTTATATTTATTAACTAACAAAAATCCGTTTGATTGTAAATGAGAAACTCATATCTTTAAAGTTGAAAAAGATAGATACC